CCCCAAAACCCCAAAACCCCAAAACCCCACTTCATAATAACTTGATAAGGTCCAAAATTAAATTAATATTTTTTCTGTTTAAACTAAATACTATCATGGAAAACGAAGATTGTGACATCTTTAATATTGTGTCTCAATGGTGTACTTCCTTACCAGGGAAGCAAAGGAAAGACTCTGGATTGACATGAGCACAAGCTGATGATGAAGATTCTTTTGAATCGCTCTCTTGGGAGGAATCGGCAAACAAGTTTGAAGGCAGCCAAGAAACGAAGACTATTTTAACATTACAGAGAGAAACATCACAGAAGAAATTTAGCAGAAAAAAGAAGAATACTAGTGACTTAAAATCCAGGAATCAATTATTCCAACCTCATTCTTTTAGAGCTAGAGATGGTGGGGAGATATCCGTTGGATCTGAGCTAAAACGAAGTTTGAATATTAAGGATAGGGACGAAGAATTCCAAATAGAAATTATGAAGAAAATTTCCCGACCAGAAATTTGTAGAGCATCCTCTCTTCCAGAAGCAGTCAACAATATTAGTATTAGACTTAATGAACATAATGGTCATAAGGATAACCAAAGAAGCCTTTGTTTGGTAAATATTATTCACTTTTTATTATTGACATTCTACTGTTAAAAAAGATTTTAGCTACTATCCTCGAAAAGTCTTCTTAATTAATGATTCAAAATAGTGACCGAATCTCCAGCATTTTTCATCCAGAAATAAACAAAATTTTACTGTACTAGATGTGGAACTAAGTGACAGTACCAATGATTTCCTTAAGTGTGATGAGGTACTTGATGATTTTGATGGTAATATCAGAGATTCTGAAGAAAAGCACAAGAAGACTTGATTAAAACTTCCCCTTTCGTTGTTAAAATTTAAAAGTAAATCTAAGAAGAAGGAACTAATTGATAGAGTAGACCCTTATTACTTGAACAGCAATCATCCTAAGCTTCGCCCTCGCATGCTGACATTGGTTCTGCATTGGCTCCAAGAGTGTTGTGAAGTTTTCCATTTGAAGCGAGAGACTTACTACTTGGCATCCTATTACTTCCACGCCTACCTTAGCAAGACACAGAAGTGTGAACCTACAGATTTGCAATTAATAGCGACTTCGTGACTTCTGATTGCCTTCAAAATTGAAGAAACTGGAGTTCTCAAATGCAAGGAATTGGTTAAAGCCAATAACGATGAATTATCTAAAGATGATATTGTCAGAATGGAGAAACAAATAACCAGAACACTTTCATGGAGATTATATCCAACAACTTTAAACAATATTTTGATTGAGACTCTTACCTGATGGGATGAATTTGTTAATGATAACCTCCAAATGTTTATTGATCTCAATCTATTTCCAAATAGTACCAGTTCGGAAGATAGCGACTTCAAAAGATTTATTGCCGACAAAGTGCTTTTTAATGTGTTCTCTATTGTTGAGTATAACTTCTGATTTCAAGATCCCAAGTATGCTGAGAAGGTGCTATGAAATCATCCTACTTATCAGTCGTATCGAAATATTACTTCGATACTTGATGTTCTCAGCCTTCAGATTTCAACTTTAAGTTACAACCCGAAATTTCTGATCCTTTCACTTCTCTACTGAACTGCAGGACTTAGAATGTCAATTTTTAAAAATAGTGGACTTATGCTGGGGTCCTCGAATCTCGAAGGAAGAAATCTTCTAGATGCGAAGTTGCAACCAGAGTCCCAAAATCCTCAACCAGGCTTAGAAATCAATGGCTTATGAAATCTGCTTAAGGAATCTTCCAAGAGGTCCTATTGTAAAGACAGAAAATTTCTGATGAAATCCCAAAATTTTACGAACATTTTCTCAAAATTCTTAGAACAGAATTTTTCATGTCAAACTTCCTCATTACTCCCCTCCCTAGAGCACGTATCCAAATTTTTCCCTACCACTGACCCCCACTGCCAAATCCCCAACCTTATAAACCTCACTGAAGAAAACCTAAAATTCCAAATGCTAAACCCCCTCAGATTCTCAGATATCATAAACACATTCACAACCCCAGACCTCCCCCCACTGGTCTCTAACCCCTAAAAATTCATAAATTTTCAAAATTCCTAAATATCTACACTATTCATAAATTTTGAAAATTTTGATAACTTTTCTAAATTTATGATACCATCATAAATTTAGAATATCTTATGAATTATTAATAAAATTTAGCAGTTTCAGTCTTGGTGAACCGTTTTGGGGTTTTGGGGTTTTGGGGTTTTGGGG